TCTTTAGAGAACTGTAGGCAGGGCAGTGTATTAGGCTTTTTGTTGTTCAGTTCGGTTCGACTACCCAAAATTCGGTTGGGTAGTCCAAATTGACACAGAGAATGATAAATAGATGATGATGGTGATGGTAGTGATGATAGTAATACTTTGCTACCCTCCTTCCTGACTGCTCAAGGCAGGGTACAACAGAGTCAAAATATATGAACATAAAATGCATACAGTAAAATACATAAAAACACATAATTATGAAAACATACATCTTTTCTTTTCTTTTCTTTTTTCCTAGTTCCTTTTCCTCACTTCCACTTTCCCTTTCCCTGAATTTTTTGTTTATATAGTAATGGAAAATTCTGTTTAATAAAAATTTTATAGGAAGAGAGAGAGAGAGAAATATACCCCAAACACAGGATTCAAAATCAACATATAGCAGTAATGGAATGTAAATTCAAAACTCATAATTCAGAGTTGACTGGGTCAGCCTGCTGCAAGATATAGGTCTTTAAATCTGTTTTAAATTCTGACAGCTTGTTTTGCTGTCATATCTCTTCTGGCAGGTCCTTCTACATACCTGAGGCTGCCAATGAAAAGGTTCCTGGCGTGATGGTTGCCAGTTGAGTTCTAGCTGGTTGGAGTAACTGTCCCCCAGAGGACCTAAGTGTCCTAAGGGATGGGAGAAGGCCATCCTGTAGAGCCTGTGTACAGAGTATTATTGAACAGTGACAGTTAACTGCTGATATTTCTAATTAATTAAGTACAATAGTGACAAAAATTATAAGGATTTAAGTATGAAATATTAGTGAAATGTATCAGCTGTCTGCACAAAGTGGAGATCTTACCGCTATTTGATATGAAAAGATATGGAAATGTATTAAATAGAGTGTATGACAGGGAGTTGGACTGGATGATCCTTGTCGTCTCTTCCAACTCTTTGATTTTAAGTGATATGCTATGATGCAAGTTTGATAGTTTTACTTTAAACTGCTTTAAACTCTACTGAGTTCTACAAATGTACAGAAAGCAAGAAAACATTTAAAAATTTTCTTTCTTCATTTAAAATTTGCTCAATTTAGAATAAATCTTTGGCCTTTCACAAACCAAAAATGCTGCTTGGAATTGTTTTTCTTGATATGGAGTACTGCTAGTACTAGAATATGTTGTTTGTTCGACAGATCAAAAACCTTGTTTGCACATATTGGAAATGAATATATGCTATGGCTTCTGGCTTTACATAACTCAAATGTTAAAATACCCATTTACTGTGAAACAAAAGAATTGGTCTTTGCAGAGGTTGTTTGATTTTGTTTTGTTTTGTAAGGTCTCTTAAATTAAATGACACATTCGAATGCAGTATCAGTAAAGTTCAGGTTGTATTTTGATTGAGAACATGAAGTTCTTTCAAATTAGTTTTATTCATCAATACAGAGACTTCTTTATTTTTTTCAGGAATCTATGAGAATATTCCTGACCACTTTTTTTCTTGATGTAGCTATCCAGATTTGGTGGGTTTTCAACTCCCAAGAAGCCCCAGCCAATGACAAGTAATTTGTGAAATCACTTATTAGTTCCAAATAAAGCAGCTCTATTAAATCAATTATGGTTAAAGTTCTGACTTACTAAATTCACACTGGTTTAGTGGGTTTACTCTATTTGAAAATAATAATTAGGAGTTTTCGTTTAGCATGATCTTGGTTGCTACGATTGGAACTGTTGTTCTCAAACAAGTTGAATCCTGTATGAGCTCAAAGAGTATTATATTTCTTGTTAGTTGTGCAGGTCTATAGATGATAAATATAAAGATATATCTCTTCCTTTGTTACCCATTCCTATATCTGCATTTCACCTACCCACATCAAATGAAATATATAATCTTTATTAATTTTCTAAGTCCTGCAGGTGTTTCTATGTGTGCTTCCACCAAAAGTTACCAAAGAGTCTCACTGGAGAATCTGGTGAATTCCTAGAGGGGATATCTCTCTAGGAATTTTCTAAGCCCTCTAGTGTGACTCTTTGGTAACTTCTAGCAGAAATGTTTCATTTCAGTGGGGTTTACTATTATCTACAGTTTTTTGTTCCTATGAGTAGATATTGAGGTTGTAGTGTACTTTGATTTGTGTATAAAAGCTCTTCATATTATTTATTGTACTTGTCACTATAGGCTAATTCTGGAAGGAAAGGTTCACATTTGCAGTGGAATCGCAGTCAAAGATCAGATTTATAAACAAAATTTTAAGTAGAGGTAGTCCTCCTTGGTGAAGTTCTTAGCAGTTGAACTTGGAAACTAAGTTTTAACCTTTCAGTCTGAATTTTAAAATAAATGCACCTGTCTTGATGAGAAAATGAATACCATCTTCTGAATTCCAAATCACACTTTAGCTAAATGATGAACGCTCTTCTCAATGCTTACTTTATGTTTTAGAAGGCCATTAATACAACTATGTTACAGCTGTTGGAGAGAATTATTTAAAATTGTCATTGTCAGTTTTTCCTTTTATCATTTGATGTCATTCTCCTCCCCTAACTCCATAGCTCCTTTGTATGTCTTGAAGTAGACTGTATTGTGCTGTTTCATTTATTGGCATTATGTCATATTGAATGCATAATAGGGGACAATGTCGTCAGTATGTGTTAAGCATGCACATGTAGCGTTTTTTGAGAAATGAATGAAATTGCATGACAGAAAATGGTGCAACTGGGTATTTCCTGTGATATGATTGAACCAGTAAGCAATGTTTTGGACTGTTGTGGTTTTCATGCATTAGTACTGTTTCGTATTATCTAGTAAAATAGACTTTCCTGTATAAAGTTGCTTATATACTTTAACCATTAGTTGTCTTTGAGTCATAAATCATTCTTGTGTAAGAGGCAAGAAAAGAAGATAAGATGGGACAGAAGGGTGACAAGTTTGATTTGCAGTGTGTTGGTATAGTAGAATGCAATACTGATTTTAATGGTCTGAGTAGACATATAAACAGCGTGTCTTCTGAAAAGGCATTATGGGTGAAAATTTGTCCTCTAGAACAGCATGGTACTTGATGAGGGCTAAAGTAAGAATTGGCCCGATACATTGCCATAAGTTGCTTCCATCTGATTTCAGCCAATTTCCACTGCAACCAAACTCCATCCATCCAGTGTTGTTCTAGTGTCTCAGTCTTTAGAAATGGTTTTCCAGGTGAGGCAGGATAATGTAGTTGGAAGGGATAGGGATATCTTCATGCACAAGCATCTTTCTCTGGTATTTCTTTCTTTGCAATCTAGTCTTGACTGCAGTAACATTTGCCATGAATTTGGCTTTGACCAGTTGTACCTCTGTGAATGGGAGACCTCTGAGAGTCATCAACACCCAGTTCTTTCAAGTCCAGGCATATAACTGGCTTGATTGAGTCAAGCCACCTGTAATGTGGTCTTTCTCTTTTTTCCTACTGCCTTCCACTTTATAGAACTTTATTGTTTTTTCCAGGGAATCATTCATCTTATGATTTGTCCACCAAGTATACCAGCTTCAGTTTAGTCATTTTGGCTTCTAATGGGAGTTCAGGTGCAATTTACTCTTGAGCCTATTTAGATGTATTTTTGGCTGTCCTTGGTATCAATAAACTACCTTCGCACTACTTTCCCATGGTGATGGGATGACACGCTCCTATGAGGCAAGAGGTTGTGCTGATGATAGCATTGTTACTGGCAAGATGGCTTATATCGGACAGGCTTTTGCTGAGGAGCCAGACCAAATGTGCCAAACAGTAGCAGGAGTAGTGGGAGGCAAAAATGGTGGCAGTGCCATTTAACACTAGACACAAAGAGGCATTAGTAAATCACTTCTGAGTGTCTTTTAACCTGAAAATTCCATGAATATGCTTTATAATGTAAGAATTTGTAACTCAGCAGTTTAAAATGCCTAACATTTATGTAAAGCAATTCCTGAGATTCATATTTTCTATTCTAGCTGGAGTTTAAGTGCAGATTTATTTTTGCTTTGCTCTAATTGTGTTGAAGTATAAGGAAGAGATGTACATTGTAGTATGGTCCAATAAAAACAGTAGTCCTTATGTACTTCAGGAGACAACTTTTAAGAAACAACTGTCCATAGTGTCCATTAGTAATTTGCAGAAGATTACAATCTGGGTAGCTAAAAAGGAACTACATGTCAAGATCCAAGAGTTTAAAAAGTTCTGCCTGTTCTGGGATGGGTGGGAGGGAACTGGAAATCTCCATCCTTGTCTGGTCTTGGTGCGATGTCTGAATACTTAGTCCCTTTCCAGCAATGATAGACTTAACTGCTTAAAGCTTTAGTTAAGGGTGACATGATAAGACATTTAGTTAATAACTTGTTATTCTTGAGGTTACCATAAATCAACAGGTGGTCTGAAGGCACGTATTTTACTGGAGAAAGTGGATTGTCTCATAATACTCGAACTAAAAGTAAAGTTTAGGTCAGTGTAGACCCATATAATGCAGTTTAACTGCATTGAACTGCTTTATATAAGTACACTGACAATACAGTGCAGGTTCAAATAGTTTTATACAGTGAAACTGGAAGGGAGGAAATCCAGAACGGACAAAAGAAAATCATGCGTGCAGTGGCTGGTTAACTGGAATTAATTGTTACAGGATTTTTCAACTGGCATTGGGTAATTGTGTGGTATATAGATCTGTCAGTCCCTAGTGATGATGACTGCATGAACCTGAGCTATGTGGCAGTCATAACCACTTGGAAGCAACAACGGGAAATAATAGTTGCACTGTTTTAAATTTCCCCCCCTAGAAATCTGTTGGAATATAATTTCTACACAAAGTAACCATCACAACCTTTTGGGAGGGAGACATGTGATGAGATATAAAGTATTTTGAATTATCCTTTAGTCTATGCTTGTTGAAAATTGGTGCCTTATTGCTGGCAAAAAAAGAACCATAAAATTTCATGTAAAATCTAGGGGAAAGTAACAACATTGTTTGTTGTTATACCATTGTTATATGTCTGTAACAAATTGTTATTACTATTTTAGGTGCAATGGATGAGCTTCATAGCCTGGATCCAAGAAGGCAGGAATTGTTAGAAGCTAGATTCACAGGAGTAGTGAGTGGTAGCACTGGGAGTACAGGAAGCTGTAGTGTCGGAGCAAAGGTGAGTAGAAGTATGGATTATATCACATGAATGTGTTGGTTAAAAGAGTGATAATAATCTTCCCCAATAAGTGCATTAAGTTTCACAACATGATACAAGAAAAAATTCCAATGTAGTCAGCTGAAATAACGCTATTGGCTTTTGCAAATCTGTTTCTACTTATATGGGCCAGGATCCAGGTACATCTACTGATGTAAATGCTTCCAGTGGCATTTGGAGGATTTTCCTGTCCCCTTCCCCAAATGCAATTAAAAAGCCTTTTCAGATTATTTGGAATCCCCTGAGAACCTGTTTATCCTATCAAAGGGCTGAACTTCAGAGGGGAGGGGGAGAAAACAGTCATCATGTAGTGTAACATTGGATTTGGTAGACAATACGAATGTTTACTGTTGTTTTTTAAAAAACACGAGCTAGCACAATATTCTAGCTTTCTAACAGGTAACTTCTGAAATGCTTATTGTTTTATTCACTTGGTTTTTAACAGGCCTCCACAAATAATGAGAGTTCCAATCATAGTTTTGGAAGCTTGGGATCTCTAAGTGACAAAGAATCAGAGGTATGAAATAATTTTTAAATAATCAGATTGACAGTTCGAATGTAGTGGTCATATCACTGTCTTTTTATCCATGTGTTCAAGTAGACTTGGTTCCTAAAATGGGGACAGTTCAAGATACTTTTCTGTATTTGCTACATTAAAACTGGGAAAGACCAAATATTTTAATATGCTGGTGGGATTATTATTTTGAAATATTTTAAATGCTATTTGCTAATTGATGCAAATTGATCTAGAAAGCTTTTTTTTGGCAGAAAAGCACTATTGATCTAATTCCCAATTTCTGCCAAAATAGCATTCATATTGGCTTACCACAAAATTCACTAAAACAGAACTACTGTATATAACTTATCAGTGAAACAAAATAAAAGCTCCTAATTTATGAACAAATCTTCAACAGCGGTCTGGCTTAAATGGCAAAAGCTTAATCTGTGACCCTAAAAATCAGTAACCTAATCAATTTAAGGTTTCGGTTTTTGGGGGGGGGGGTTTGCTTACCTGTTCGTTCTTAATAATTGGAATTTGTTTTTAATAATTGGAATTAAAAATAATTCAGTAGTCCAGAGAAATTATATATCTTAACATGATTTCAGCGAACAACAAACAACTACATGTGCTTTTTGCACATTTGCAAATTGGTCATTCAGTAGACATTTTCAGTAGTGACTCCAGTTTCAGAATTTGATTAAATGTCTAGTTATTTTACTCTGTGGAGAATTAATAATACTTGAGTAAGAATACTTTAGATGACATTTAAGCATTATGAACACTGAAATAAAGCTTATAACCAGTGCCGCTTAAACAGGACTATCTACAAATTACACAGTGTAACAAAATTTGGGGAAAAAGTGTTTCTGGTTTGAAAGTGTTATTTCTTTGAAAGTAGTTATACTCTAGAAACTGAGTTTTTGTGGCTGCCACAAACTGTGTTGAATTGGTTGAGACACTATCAGATATTCATTGAAAAATTATAGCAAAATGTCCTGCAGGATGCCAGCAAAAACAAAGTTTTTGCAGTTTAATAAAACCTTTCCATGTTTTTATGATAGAACCAATTAGGAAATGACATTTATAACCCAGGGACAGAAATCATGTTACATAGTATAATTTACAATTCAAGAAGAATTGCTCAGCATTTTTGTGCTGTAATGATCTTTTGGATGCATTACCGACCATCAGTTCTATTTTTTTGGCATTTCTAAAACTGGTTTAAATCTGTTACCAGTCTAAACTCAACTCATGTTTAACCTATTGAAGCAATGAAACTTTCGTAAGTGTTGATTTAGCAAGTTCCCTTTGATTCAGTGGCTTTATTCCAGTTGGTACTAACCGTTGGATTTAGGCCTGTGAAAGCAGTGCAAATTATATAACATTATTTTTATTAATTGAGAATAGATCCCTGATACAATAGAGCTGTAAGCAGAACATGGTTGTAGGGCTTTCATTCTAAAAAGATAAGCACTGATAATGTGATAATGTGATTTTCCCAGGCCATAGTTGAAACATAGTGAAACAGGCCATAGTTGAAATTCAGAACAATGAAATCGTTTGCCATAAAATCTTGATGGTAACCATATCTAAAATGAATGTGGTTTTGAAAGTGGAGCACCTTGCCATAGCAAAGCCAGAAATTTCTCTTGGTATTCCAGATTGCTTGAATGTACATGCCTGATGTAGATTTATGTATCCTATACTTTGGGCTTAGAGGGACAGCATCAAAATAAAATTCTGTCACATGAAGTGAAATTGTATTTTAAAACGATAAAGATTGTCTATCTAAATCTGTATATTACAAAAATAGGAAGGGTTTTTGCCTTCTCTTTTTCACTAAATATAGCTGTTGTTGGTGTTAGTGATTCTACTACTATGCCCATTAAATTTGGCATGTAACAGTTTCTCTTGCACGAGCAGTTGTCTTCAGTAGTATTTCAGAGTTATAGAATTGTCATCTGTTTTAGTTCATGTGGCTGAACTGCAAAAAAGATTTCTAAAAATACCATTATGATTCAGAAATATTCAGCAATGTAATACTTGAATTTTACTTGTCTGTTAGAAACAATAGGGGTTTCTGTCTCCTAGTATATATATATTTTAAAAATACCACATAGGTTCCAAAACCTTTTGGTTTATTCAATTTTTCTGTTCTGAAATTATCAATTTTACAATTGTTTATCCATGTAGCAAGAAAGACAATATTAAAGATGTACTTTGGGTATTAGAATTTTACTTTTTTAATATATGTCAGAGGTGGTGGTGATGGCGGATGCTTAGAGCATATGTGACTAGTGAAGCATTCATTTATTGTACTTTGGCTCCAATGTATCCGCTTTTCAGCAAAAAATCCTGTGGGTATGGGAATTCAGGATCCAACCTTCAATGTAAATTAGTAAATATTCTTGCAAAATGACTTTGGAACTAAAATTAAAGGCTGTAGTGGAATTTAATGGACTGGATCAGACAGCACACTTAGCATAAGATATTTCACATGCTAGTGCAGGAATCCCTGCCCCACTCTTCCTACTCTGGAAAGTTTCTTAAAAATCAACAAAATTTGTGGGATAAGTGGAGGCCCTACTTTGGATCTGAGTTAGTCTTTTCCAGTTTATAGCAATAAGTAGTGCTATTAATAGCCTAGGATTTACTGATTTCCCCTTATCCACCATACTTATAAACTGACATTTTAGAGGGAAAATATTTATAAGTTCAAGCATTTAAGTTTGGTATCCTGATAATACAACATAAAATTATTATGTGGTCCGTTTTAGAAATAAGCAAAGCTTCTTATTGTTTGAATGCTTCTTTTAATATACATGCATTGAAATGCTTGCTCCAGTTCTTTTGCCTAAATACAATATTATACTGAGGTGTGGGTTTGTTTTTGTTTTTGCGCAGACTCCTGAGAAAAAACAACTGGAGTCTTCCAGAGGTAGAAAAAGAAAAGCAGAAAGTCAGAGTGAAAGCAGTCAAGGTATGGTATGCATTGTATTACATTAGATAAATGTTGTGTACAGTTGTCAGCTGATCTAAATTTGCTGTTCCTGCAAGGATATTATACTGTTCTGTGGCTTGTTAAAAGTCACACTATTTCTACTCATTGTCTGTATTTACTGGGATACCTAGCTAGGCTGAATCAAAAATAGTCCAATAATCTTACATCAAATTTGAACTCAGGTCATGTATTTTGTAATTGCCTGCTTGTGAGGCAATTAATTTTTCACCAAAAATATTGGAATGTCATTTGTAACTGTCTTGATTTTAGGTGAATTATAAAAATTATATATTTTAAAGTGAAGGGCAATATAAAGTAATGTTAGTGGATGGTAATTTAAAAAAAGAAGAATAGTTACATTGAAAAGTCTTACATAGTACCGTTTTTGTTCTTCAGAACCTTGAAATGGCCTCAGACTAGTTCAGTGGGGACAGGCTTTTGTGTTTGGACATGACACTTTTAGTGGTGTTCACAGCATACTCAATAACATCAGTGACCATCTTGAGCTGTGTTTAGTTATGTCATGGTTAGTCATATATCAAATCTTTGATCACTGGGATTCCCTCACTCACTCACCAATTTGGGTGGGCAGGGGGATGGAGATGGAACATAGGAGCATCAGTAGGGAGGGCAGGGGAAGAGAATGGGCTGGGGCAAGGAAGGAGGGTGCATGCATGTGTCCCCTCATATGCTCCCTCACTTGGGCAGGGAAGAGGGAGGTGAATGAGAGAAGAGAGCACAGGAGGAAGGGCCCTCATGAATTCTCTCCCTCATATGGGCGGGAGGGATGGCACAATGGAGTTCCAATGTTTATAATAGATTTAAAGCAGGCTTGCACAACCTGAGGCCCTCCAGGTGTTTGGGACTTCAGCTCCCAGAATTCCTGACAATAGGCCTGATTTAGAGTTTTAGTTTGCAAATTAGTCTGAGTCCAGTGTTTCACCTTGTGACACAGACTCACATATTATGTCATTAATACATTTGTAGTCCTCACATTTACAAAAACATGGGACTATAAATGTATTGGGAGTAAAAGTTTTAGTATCTTATTGATATATTTATTGGTTTTAATAAAATAATAAAACTATTAAATCTAATAGCATAAAGTTAGCAACAGAGGAAAGATAAATATAGCAGATTCATGGCTGCATCAGCAATTTCACTTGATTTTGAAATCTCAATAAATATTTGTCATCACTAAAAGATGTTATATCTCTCAGTAATGCTAAGAGTTACTGTAACATCATCTCTAGGTGAGCCTCTTCAGGGAGATCATTCCATAACTGGCGGGGGGAGTCATTTCATGAATAGACTGTGCCCTTTATCATTTGTTGGAAGCACTTGAAAAAGGGCTTAAGGTATCAACAGAAATCAGTAGGAAAAAAAAGATTTGGACATAACCGTGTCAACTTAGCCGGGGGGTGGGGCGGGGGTGAGTGAGCACACAAAATGGAGAAGTTTTTTCCTATCCTCCCTTGTAAAAAAAACAAACAAACCAGCCACTGTATATCAGTTATGCTGTATAACAGAGCTTTCTGAAGTGTGTGTTGTAACATATTTGTGCATTGACTGCAGTGTGTAGGTGTGTTGTGTGAACCTAAGGAGAAACCTCAGCATCTATGATGAAATAAAGCAATAAATCATAAATTTTAAAATATATAAATGAAAGGTTTATGAGATATATTGTGCTCTCCTACATTTCATTATTACAATTTATGTACCGTATATTCCGGCATATAAGACGACTGGGCGTATAAGACGACCCCCAACTTTTCCAGTTAAAATATAGAGTTTGGGATATACTCGCCGTATAAGACCACCCCTCTTCCAATGCACACCAAATAATTTTTAAAAAAAATCAGATTTGACTTCAATATGGTAATTTGAATTCAAATGCTTCTAACATGCAGGTTCCTATGAACCTGCATTACATGTACCTTACCTTACATATGAACCTGTACCTTACATTGGACATTATAGTTGTTCTTCCTCCCTTGAATTTCGTTTACACTCTGGGTCCTTTACATCATGCTGGCAAGTATGAAAGCAGGCTTTAAATGGTTAAGATTACATTTATGTTGGCATAGAAGCTTGCATGCAAATAGAAGTCAGGCTTTGTACAATGAGTACTGAGGTGAAGGCAAAGCATTTGTAGAATTTTTATCTATAAGCAGTCTTTAGAAATCAGGACGTCCTATCAGAAGAGAGGGGCAGATTGGACCCTAATCCTTCAGAAATGTAGCATTTGGCATGGCACATGTTTACTTGGTCACATCTTGACATGTCTTCATCCTTAAATCACCGTGACAGCTTGAATTGTTTTAGAGTTTCTCAAGAACACAGCCAGGTGATGTTTAATTGTTAGAAGGGGAAAAGAGATCAGAAAAGAGGAAGGAGGGCCCTGGGTCAATAAGAGCTTTCCAGTTTGACTTCTGTCAAAAACGAAATGCAAAGATACAGGATGGGGGACACGTGGCTCGAGAGCGGTATGTGTGAAAAAGATCTTGGGGTCCTTGTGGACAACAAGTTAAACATGAGCCAGGAATGTCATGCGGTGGCAAAAAAAAAACCAAGAGGATTTTGGCCTGCATCAATACGAGCATAGCGTCTAGATCCAGGGAAGTCATGCTCCCCATGCTCTATTCTGCTCTGGTTAGACCAAACCTGGAATTACATTGTGTCCAATTCTGGGCACCACAACTGAAGGGAGATGTTGACAAGCTGGAATGTGTCCAGAGGAAGAGGGTGACTAAAATGATCACAATCTGGAGAACAAGCCCTATGAGGAGCGGCTTAAGGAGCTGGGCATGTTTAGCCTGAAGAAGAGAAGGCTGAGAGGAGACATGATAGCCATGTATAAATATGTGAGAGGAAGCCACAGGGAGGAGGGAGCAGATCAAGGGTCTGGAGAACAAGCCCTATGAGGAGCGGCTTAAGAGCTGGGCATGTTTAGCCTGAAGAAGAGAAGGCTGAGAGGAGATATGATGAAGGCCATGTATAAATATGTGAGAGGAAGCCACAGGGAGGAGGGAGCAGATCAAGGGTCTGGAGAACAAGCCCTATGAGGAGCGGCTTAAGGAGCTGGCATGTTTAGCCTGAAGAAGAGAAGGATGAGAGGAATGTGTCCAGAGAAGGTCAACTAAAATGATCAAGGGTCTGGAGAACAAGCCCTATGAGGAGTGGCTTAAAGAGCTGGGCATGTTTAGCCTGAAGAAGAGAAGGCTGAGAGGAGACATGATAGCCATGTATAAATATGTGAGAGGAAGTCATAGGGAGGAGAGAGCAGATCAAGGGTCTGGAGAACAAGCCCTATGAGGGGTGGCTTAAAGAGCTGGGTATGTTTAGTCTGAAGAGGAGGAGCAGCGGCAGGCTTCGCTACCAAGCTGGCAGCATGGTAGCCTACTGGGCTGTCTTCACCCTCGCCGGCATTGACTTGGCTCCGCCTCCGGCCTCTAATCCCAGAACAGCTGCTGCAGGAGCCAAAGCCGGAGGGGCGGGGGCGGGGCCTCTGGCTGCTCCACCCCACCCCCGCAGAGGGTCCCGCCCCCCTGCGGAGGCTTCAACTCCTGCTGCTTTACCAGGCCGGCGGGGGTGTTTGCATGCTGTGCTGTCCCCTCCGCCACTGGTCTGCTGCTACCTCCGCCTCTGGCCTCAAGTTCAGAGCAATTGCCGAGGGAACCAAAACCGGAGCGTGGGCGGGGCCGCGAGGGGCGGGGTCCTCTTCTCCCACTGCCTCCCTGCTCTGGGTTTGGTTCCCTCGGCAGTTGCTCTGGCTTTGAGGCCAGAGGCGGAGCTAGCAGCAGACCAGTGGCGGAGGGGACAGCACAGCATGCAAGCAACCCCCGCCGTCCTGGTAAAGCAGCAGGAGTTGAAGCCTCCGCAGGGGGGCGGGACCCTCCGCGGGGGCGGGGCGGAGCAGCCATGCTCCACCACGCGGGGACGCCAAGGGCGAGGGACACGAGGGAAAAATGATGCCAAAAATTTTATTCCGGGGTACAAGACGACTCCCCACTTTTGAGATGATTTTCCTGGCTTAGAAAGTCGTCTTGTACCCTGGAATATACGGTATGTGTTCACACCTCTTATAAATTCTGGTGTGCTAGTCAAACTGAATTACTGTGTCACAAAACTTTACATGTCTAAAAAGTGTGTCACCAACATGAAATGTTCAGAAAGCTCTGCCGAATAGGCCTCAGATGATTTGGGGGGATTATAAATCACAGGAGGAGGAATGTCACAATGACTAAAGCTGCAATATTTTTGTTTTAAGTTACCAATTGTACCAAGTGAACATGAAGTTTGTATGTTCAGAATGATCATAAAATTACTCAGCTCCATCAGAGTCATGAAATTCCATGCTTCAGCAATTCACTAGAGTTTTTCAGTATATTCTTCAAAAAGCTATAAAACCATTTCAGGGCCCATCTACACAGACCTAAAGTGTGGGGGGTTTGCCAGAGTAGCCTGAGGCATCCAAACAATGCCTCAGGCTACTCCTCAGGACTCTGGCAATCTGGTTTAACCTGGAGTAAACATGGATGCTGGGGTTTGTAGTCCAACAAAATCTGGAGAACTGTAGAAATTTCATCCCTTTGCCTATATTATGCAGTGTCAGTTCTAGTAATGGCTCTTGTTTAAAAATGTATTTCTGTTTTTGATTCAGGAAAAAACATTGGGGCACGTGGTCATAAAATTAGTGACTATTTTGAAGTAAGTTCCATTTTCAACTATTAATTCATATGATCTTTCTGTTCATATATGAAATATAACTATTTGAAGAAAAACATCAGTTGCGTCAAATCATCTGGTTTTGCATGCTAAAAATTAAGATCAGAATTTTCTGTCTGGATTTGCATATCATCTTAGATAGAATTGTCTCCTTGCATGAGTATCTGGTCTTTGGGAATTATGCTGGGACCACACCTGACATGTGGTCCCAGCATACCATAGAATCATGTTATGTTGCATGACATTATTATAGATGTTCCTTACATTTCTTCCTGTCTGTCATAAGTTTCCAGTAAATGTTACTTGTTTGCAACATGTCTGGTGTCAAGGTGTGGTATATTCCCGCCTTTCTATACCTTACCTTACTAGTCTCCATATGTGCGATTCACAAAGGCCATGAAGAAGAAGGACAAGTTGCATACTTGTAATTGTGTTTCTTCAAGTGGTCCTCTGAGAAGTCACACAACCCTGCCCATTCCTCCCTTCCTCTATGCCAACCTCCTTCTTTCTAACAGTATCAGTGGTCTGGGAACTGGGGCCACCTTTTATGCCTCCGGAGGAGTGGGCAGGGTTACCACAAAAATTCAAAAGCTAGAGCTTGGAAACATTTTCCATTCGAATCTGTGCAGATGCAGTAAACCCGTATGTGTGACTTCATAGAGAACCGCTCAAAGAAAACACAGTTAGAGGTGTGCAACCTGTCCTTCCTGTTCATCATCCTAGTAAGTAGCCCCTTATTCTGCATTGAGCCATGGCAGTTGAAGTAGTGTCAAGTAGCATTAATTCTACCATGCAGATTAATCCTGAGACACATTTCAGAAGTACTTTATGAATATGTGCCTTTAAACAGGAGTTTGGATTAGATGGACCTTGTGGTCCCTTCCAGCTCTATGGTTTTTATTATTTTTGTGTTTAGTTATTGTCAGCATAGCTTTTATAGTCTTTACCAATAATAATTCTTACTCTAGCCCCGCTCCCCATCCTGATAGTATATACAATCAGAAGTGAGTATGAAATGGGGTTTATCGACTTAACTGAACAGACTTTAAGAATATCCTTCTATTCAAGGGATGCAGGTGAGGATGCAGCTGAAAGTAATCATAATGAAGTTTTCTGAAACTGGACCTCATCACATTGAGGCCACTAATCTGGGTGATAATGGGAGATTCGCCGTGAATCATGACAAATCCAGCATGGGGAATCTGTTGCCTGCATCAGGGGTTACTTTAGAGCAGGGGTCCACAAACTTTTTAAATAGAGGGCCAGGTCACAGTCCCTCAAACTGTTGGTGGGCCGGATTATAACTTGGAAAAAAATGAATGAACTCCTATGCACACTGCACATATCTTATTTGTAGTGCAAAAACACTTAAAAATACAACAATTAAAATGAAGAACAATTTTAACAAATATAAACTTATTAGTATTTCAGTGGGAAGTGTGGGCCTGCTTTTGGCTGATGAGATAGGATTGTTGTTGTTGTGTGCTTTCAAGTCGTTTCAGACTTACGTTGAATCTGAGCGAGGGCCGGGTAAATGACCTTTGAGGGCCGTATCCAGCCCCCGGGCCTTAGTTTGAGGACCCCTGCTTTAGAGTATCCAATTTTAAAAATGTGGTAACTGCAATGGATCACGCAAATTTAAATAAGAAAAAAATTGGAATTCTTAAATTGGATGTCTATAAAGCTTTTGATAAGGTTAATTATAAATTTTTGTTAAGATTTTGTCAGAAATTGAACATGGGATATTTTTTTAAAAAAAAAAACACTGCAACAATTGTACAGTAATTGCACAGCAAGAATAAGGGTGAACAATGGAAAGAACGGGAGAAATCTCAATTTCAAATGGGACAAAACAAGGGTGTCCATCATTCCCAACTCTATTTGTAACGGGGGGAACATTGCTGGCCGGCTTCCCTCTGTTCTCTATGGAACATGGGAAGCCTCTCATGTTCCCGGCACTGCCTTTTATGAAAGTTCAACCTCACTTCAAGCTGGAAGTAGATCTACATTGGCATCTGGCAGACTCCATGCCTGAAGTGATGTCGAACTGTTGTAAGACGGGTAATTTTGCCCATCTAATGCGGTTGTTTGTCAGCATACAGAGGAGCTTTCATTCAGCCAGGTACTCATCATTCACTTTCAAGAGCAAATCCTGGATAGTGTTAGTTACTCTCCGCTATCCAGTCTATATGAACTGATAAAGCTTTTGAGAAAAAAATGCTGACCAAATAGACCAATCCTTCATAGCCATGTTAAAGTGAGGTTCATGGAAGATACAGGGAATACTAGTTTTCCACGGCACAATTTTTGTGAAAAGCTGTACACATTTGCTTCCAACTTTGCACAGCTTCTTTGGAGAACTGGGAAGAAAGCTGTTCTGATAGTTTATTGTCTCTAATCATTTATTGTCACAAAATTTCAGTATTTTGCAATGTGCAACCATTGTTTACCTTTCTGGCATGAACTGGCAAAAAGGATTTATCAATAAAATCATAGTCTGTCACTAATTTTCTTTGCTTTAGCCATGGATATAAATAAGTGGCGACTCTTTGAATTTACATATGGATTTGGAAGCTTTTCTGCACTTAGTATCTCATAGATTTCTGTGTTATGAAAGAATTGAGAGAAATGCATTCAAACCCTTAACTGCTTGCCTTTTTGGAGGAGCTTGAATTTCTCTATTCCTTAACAATAATACTGTAAAATTCCTTTTATGCTTTCTTTCATGTTTAGTTTATTAACAATTTCACAAAACACAGGATAAAACAAAAATGAAATGAATAAAATAATCAAATGCATTCAGTTTATGATTTTGTTAATGAGAAATTATTGAGCGTATAGACATACCTGGTATCTCAGCAGTCATTACTGTTTTCATATATATATATTATCTAATTGGTACTGCATTTTGTTACATAATTAAAGATTTGCTAATTCATAGTATTTCCACTGTGTTCAGTAAATGCATTTTTTTCTTTGACTATTTTCCCCCAGTACCAAGGTGGAAATGGGTCTAGCCCTGTAAGAGGAATGCCTCCTGCAATCCGTTCTCCTCAAAACTCACATTCCGCTCCTTCTTCTGTAAGTGTCGTCTCCAGAAGTCATAACTGGCCAGTACTAAAATCCTCATGCTGTTTTAAACCTGGTTAACAAAAACAATGCCTTGATAGACTGTGTTGTTTTTGCAGCTAGTAACAGACTTTGTTATTCTTAAGACTATTTTGCCTCTTGTCTGCTGAACCAGATGGAATGTGTTTGTCCAAAAAACAGCAGTCCAACCTCTGGTTTGGGTGGTTTCTAGTTTGAGGTGTTGGTGGGCCAAAGTGTTTCTTGTATGTTGTTGTCTATAGGCCAAAATCTTGCCAAAGTTTATACTGCTTATTTTAAAAAGTGAATCTTTAGGGTGCTGTGGGATTCTTGGGTTTGGGGTTTTGGCAGTAGTGCATTAGCATGGCTTCTCCTTTGCAATTCAAAAAAACAAACAAACACCACCACCACAACCAAGTGTACTAAACATAAATAATAGAATATAAGTTATTGAATAGCCATAATAAAATTAAAGTTATCCTAGGACTCTTTTGTACTCATTGACAACAACTTGTAATGAGTACCTGGCAAATTAAGTGGGATATTGCCTACATATTTTCCTTTGGTTTCCATAATGAAGAGCCCACCTTTTAAAATTAAAGATGAAAATTCAAGGGATTGTAGGGAGAAGTAGGCAACTGTTTTATAGTCATATAGTCATATAGGTTGTGGAAGGGTAAAGATACCATAGAACGTGTGGCAAATGGATTGTGTGTACTTTATTACACCAGGGAAGAGAAATTCTAGAAAGACTGAAATCTCAGTGAATAGAATCTATTTACCTGTCCCCTTTCCTTCACTTTTGATAATGTACAAGGGGATTGAGGAGCAAAATCTCTCATCTTTTTGCTGTTGGTCTGCAGCGTACCTCAGGAACAGGAAGACACAGTTGTACTGTAATCACTTGCACAAATAGAATATCAGTCTCTAGACTGAGGGGAAAAAACTGCCATCAGACAGCTTAAGAAGTAATGCTTTGTTATTTACTCAAAACATTTGACACTTGTAACAGTTTTTTAAACGTGCTGCTAATTTTCATTACGTATATCGCGGTGATCTTTGAGATAATACTGTTTGCTAAAATATTTTGTAGCTGTAGCAAATCAGAGGCCATGTTTCCTTCTGTTGTTGTGCCTCTGATGATGGGAGCCTTGTAGCCAAACATCCAGTTCCATTGTGTTTCCTGATAATGCAGTTAAAAAATATCATATGTTTTTTTCAACCTTTAATTATATGGACAGAATTCTTAGGTTTCTCAAAATAGAAAGGTTGTATCTGAAGAATTGATTATGTTCCATGCAGGAAAAGGTGAAGAGTAAGATACCGATGTTCTTGATTTTCTGCATTCTCTCAGAGACCAATTATGTTATCTTTTTCTTCACTTAAGATATCCCCATTGTCCCCTTAGAGACAATTAGGAATTGGAGTCACACTGAAAATAAATCAAAAACAAAATTGTTCTTTTTTATCAAAAATTCAGAGCCAGTGCTAAAAAAAAAGCTGAAGGAAATAGGCAGAGTGACTTCATTCTGTATAGATATACTCCTGTATCTTTGGCAGGAGAGGGCTGTCTGCTTTTTAGCTTAAACCATGAGCAGCTCTTGTGTTTTGTTTTTTTGTGGCATGTTGTTTTTACATTTAGTATAGTAGAGGTTTCTTTCTTTCACTATTACTGGACTGGAGGGAATTCCAAGCATGTATGGTGAATAGAAAAGACCAAGTTTTTATTTCTGCAGTTTGATAAACGTACCTTTCCATTTTTCAGTGAAATAGACATTTTGCAAAAATTTGTACACATCTAGGTTCGGCAGAATAGTCCTTCTCCTACTGCATTGTCTTTTGGGGACCACCCTGTTACACAACCAAAGCAGTTGTCATTTAAAGTTACACAGGTAAGACTTCTGAGTGTTCATTCTTTTCCTTAATGCTAAACAAATTATCACAGCATTTAATCTTTCCTATCAATTGGCTTTTAGTTTAGAAGCAATCCTTCAAAAAAGATTTGTTAAAGTAACATTGTTGTGCTACAAGACGGAGTAGGTACAGATAAGCCATTCTGCTATGTTTGCATTTTACAGTCTCTTTTCATAACACCGCATGACCTCCCAGGAGTCTTTTGAAAAACAAATATTATGACTAAATCCTCAGAGCAGATGCTTTGGGATTTAAGTTCTCGTGATCCTGATAACTGAGGTGAAGATTTGAAAGGAAGAAGGGGAAGAATTCAGATTAATTGTAGAGCTCTTTACTTTGCAACCCATCCCCCAAAGAAACACACAACATTTGTGTTTTTGATTTTGTGTTACCAACACGGCACTGAGCAGTAGTGGTTCTATGATTTCAGAAAGTTTTTTGACAAATCATAGCTTTTTGACAAATCTGTTTTTTCTGGATATTTTGAAGGGGGGGGATTGTGGTTTTCTTGACAAAGAGAATTGGTAGTTTTTGCAAAAACTGAAAAAAATGCAATAACACACTTCTGTAAAGCCTCTATTACTTTAGGAAAGCCAGATGTGTTATTCATAGCTTCACATGGCTTCACATATTAAAAGAATAGGTCATTCAGTAATAATTTTCAAAAATTATTTTGTGTTACACATGGAGCTACAAGATCCTGAACTGTAAGGAATATCTAAGGAAATACTTTCTTTCCCAGATTACGAGGAACAAGATTTCCCACAGCCCACCAATAAAAGCAGAAGAAACCATCAACATTTGTACAACAAAGAAAATTATTTTATCTCCCCATTGTGCCAAACACTCATTCCCATATAAAGACCTGGAAAAAGGAAATTAAGACTAGGAATTGCAGTGATTTGAGAGGCTGTCACATGCAATTTTACCGTCTACATCAGTGGTTCCCAACCTGTGGGTCCCCAGGTGTTTTGGCTTACAACTCTCAGAAATCCCAGCTAGTTTACCAGCTGTTAGGATTTTTGGGAGTTGAAGGGCAAAACATCTGGAGACCCACAGGTTGAGAAGTACTGTTCTACGTGGTTCTAGAAATAACTTAGGGAGTGGGGATATATTAGCACGGTCTTTAATATTTTATTCATCACAACAAATGAAAATACTATATAATCCATTTGTTTTCCATCGGGGAGGGGGGACTTCTCATTTGTTAAGCCTTCACATCTTTCTGGCCGAGACAAATCAATAATGTGTCATTAGCTAGTTCTGCTGTTATTCTATTTTGATTTTACCAAGAATATTAAGACAGCCTTGAAAACTAAGCAATGAAAGAGCTCAGGTGGTTGATTGTTTTCCCCTCATGCTGTCTCTTATGTTTTAACATAAAAGACTCTTGATCCCAAGTGGAAGGGAGGCAACCTTGCTCAATCTTTTTCTTACAGGACTTATAACTCTTAAGGCAAGAGGGTTAGACAGGCATGTGTACAAGAACATAAGGCAGAAACTAGCTCTAATTTTCATGAGCTCCACATCCAGATGGTGCTTTCTGATTAAAACAGAATCCTAGTCAGTTACCTGTGTTTTCTTTGAAATAGGGAGAATGTATAGATTTGTTGTTGATGTTCTTGTCTGAAATGAATATGTTACTTTGTCTTAGCCAAATTGGCCAGTGGCAACTTAGAAAATTACATTTCGATGGAATCCATGTTGAATCTGCTAAATGTTTGTATGACCCTTCTTTCCTATTTTCATAGACTGATCTGACAATGTTGAAATTAACAGCACTTGAAAGTAATAAAAATCAAGACCTGGAAAAGAAAGAAGGTCGTATAGATGATTTGCTCAGGGTAAGTGTGACCATGGTATGATTCAGAGAAATATTGGAATACTTGTGTTAAGAAGAAAATATGTACTGTTTTAAAATGACAAGTGACTTAAATGTGTTTGCCTGTAGTCCCAAACAAATACAAAATATAATGTATGATGCTTACAATTATTTCTTGATTTTCCTTTTCGTGAGAGTCAGTTGTTTTTACTTGTATAAGTTGAGAGTTTCTTATCTCTCAACTTATACAAGTAAAAACAACTGCCAAACCTTTCAAAATCCAAAATTGTCCACATGGGTGGCTAAGATAGAGACAGCTTTGCTTTCACATGGTTCAATGTACGCACATGCAAAACATTATTAAAAATATTATATAAAATTACCTTGTGTGTGTGAAGCATAAATTAATTTCATATTTAGATGTAGTTCCCATCTGCAAAATATCTCATTTTCTACATTTATACAAATAGCATATTTTATGCAATGGCTACTATTTATGCCTTTGAGGAGCTTTTTTTCACCATGTAATAGTCTCTTTAAAGGCGCAGCTGCACGGGCAGGTGAATCCTCACCCGCCCGCACAGCTGAGCCCTCAAAGCAGGCATCCTCAAACTGTGGTCCTCCAGCTGTTTGGGCCTTCAACTCCCAGAGTTCCTGACAATTGAACAAGCTTGTTAGGGCCCAAACAGCTGGAGAGCCGAAGTTTGAGGATGTCTGCCTCAAAGCATAGCTGCGGTGGGGAGAGGTAGATGGACTGGTTCGAGCTGTGGAAGCTTGCCTTGGAGAGGCAATGGAGTGAATGAACTCGTCATCCCACCCCTCCGCAGCTATGGTGGGACAGACTCATGGGTGGATGAAGCTCCCTTTGCATAATATTCATGCCTGTGACCCAAAGGTGCAAATATTATGCAAGGAAATAAAAAATACCAAAAAAGGGCTATGTGACTATTATGCAATGAAATATGGGACAGGTATTCCAAAATCTGAAATCCAAAACACTTTTGGTCCCAAGCATTTTAGCTAAGGTTATGCAACTTGTCCTGGAAATTCTTTTTTTCTGAAAATTCAAGAGGAAATTTCAGTTTTTGTGGTATTTGCATGTGTTTTGAAATCATCATAAATAATAAACATAATTTCTTTTACTACTTAGGCTAATTGCGATCTACGACGGCAAATAGATGAACAACAAAAATTACTTGAAAAATACAAAGAAAGATTAAACAAATGCATTTCAATGAGCAAGAAGCTTTTAATTGAAAAAGTAAGTTGATTTTTTTTTATTTAAAAAGGTCTAAGCTCAAAAACAAAGAACATATAGTCATCTTGATACTTTAGGTTCGGTAGCTGTGGTACAAAAAGTAATTTATCCAATTCCAGTAAAGATCCATAATGGATAACAAGGTGGATAAAAGACTGGAGGGAGGAGCTTTGACTATAACAATAGAAAAATTGCTTTGCAATGGCTCAGACCACAGGAGAAGGTATTATTATATACCAGGTGGGGCAAAAACTTAGGAGTTGTCTTGTTCCTGTATCTTCTTCTTGGGATGAAGTGCCTGGCAAAAGAAACATATGCACTGGAGTGGTAACATTACATTTTTGATTGGAGCTTCCACAATCCTATAACCAACCTGGCCAGTTGATTATTCTCCCAGGATGGTTGTTATAGTATGACTTCAAATTGTTTCTGATTTATGCTGACCCTAAGGTTTTTCTTCGCAATGTTTGTTCAGGTGGGTTTTTGCCTTTGCCACCTTCTAAGACTGAGGAAGTGTGACTTGCCCAAGTCACCCAGGGTTTTCCATGGCTGAATGGGAATTTGAACTTTGGTCTCTGGAGTTGTAATCCATTGTTCAAATCCACAACACAACCCTGTCTTCTTCCAAGCCCTGCATAACATTAAAAGGCCTTAGGGGGTAACATTGATTGTATGGCATTTAAACACAGAAATTGACTCAGTGCAGCAGTTGATCTTACCATCAAATTCCAAGCTGGTAGAAGGGAGACTAACTGAGTGGGAAGTGATGGCTTGCCTGCTGTGAAATAGGTGCTCTGTTTGAGCAGAAAGCTGTATATAATCTACATTGGATCTTGCACATAGAGAAAAGTGTTTTTTTTTTCTGTTCTGGGTTTAACCTCCCCTCCTCTGTGCTCAGATTTTGTCTCTCAACTTTCAGAAGCCTGTGAAATGCAAGTTCTGAGACCATGGAAGCAGACATAACAGTCAGCTTGGAAATTCTTTTTCTAATTATGAGAATATGCGTTGTCTTTGCAAAACAGAAGCCTTGAGATAAACTATTTTGATTCAAGACAGTGAATTAGTAACTATCTTGCATTTGTTAGACGAAATATCAATTGCTGGGAATGACTCAGAAAGTAACTGGTAGTATTTTGGTTTTCTTAGAGCACGCAAGAGAAGCTGGCAAGCAGAGAGAAGAGTATGCAAGACAGATTACGCCTTGGGCATTTTACAACTGTTCGACATGGTGCTTCATTTACTGAACAGTGGACAGATGGTTTTGCATTTCAAAATCTTGTGAAGTTAGTCAATATTGTGTTTTTAAACTGTTTAGTAATTACCAGTTCTCTTGAGTGGGTGTTTTGTATTATTTAACATTCTTTGAGATTTACTTTTACATATATCACATTATATTCTCCTCTTTTGAATACAGCAGAGACCTTTTTTAATCTACAGAAATTTGAATTCTCTGCATCTTGTTACCTTTGAAAACAAGCAAATATCTCATTATAGTTTCCTTTGAACCTTAAAAACAAATCAAAATATAATAAATGAGTACTGTATACATAGAAAATTGTAAACCTAAACTAATGAATTTTCAACCAGCCCATGACTGCTGGGTTGACTGCTGGTCACATGATCTAGGAAGGTGTCTGTGAAAAAAGACATATTTCTGCACTAGTGTGATTTGCAATCAATTAAGATAATAAGAATTTAGTTGATTTTATTGGTGGTTTTTGCTATACTAAAACAAGTGAATGTCTGTGTGGCAGTCTAAACCTGTTGCCATTAAAAGAGCAAGCTCAATAAAATACTTGAGTAAAGATTGCTTAGAAGGGGATGATACAGGGAAGCAGATAATTTAGGAGGATGAAAGGAAAGGAGAATTGGTGTACTGATATATCTTAGTTAACTAAGTTTCTGACTGTGAACCTCCTTTTTATAAAATTGTCAGCATCCCTTCCTTATCTTCTGCTAGCTGAAAATTTCTATGAGCATTGCCAGTGGAGAGATTGGAGAAACGGATTTTTGGTGTTGGGTTGTAGTAGTATATCTGTGAGGGCTTGAGGTAGGAAAGAATGTGATTCCCCCCCCCCCCCACCTGATCGTACTGTAGCCCTGTGGGCTTACTTGCAACAGGTCGGGTCAATAGCAACTGCCCCAGAATTTATTTATTTATTTATTTATTTATTTACTGCATTTGTTGACCGCCGCTCTCAGCCCTGGGGCGACTCGCGGCGGTGTACAACATATAAAAACAATTTACAAAAGCATACAATATATCAACACAACCATATTACACATTAATCTAAATCACAATTAACAAATCCGCACCGTCATAGCATAGAATCATATCCAATCTCATAAACCATAATCCGTTCCTGTTGTCATTACCAAATTCATGTAGCTCTCAATTAAATGCCTTCTCGAATAGCCAGGTCTTTAGGCTCTTGCGGAAAGCCATAAGGGAGGGCGCCTGTCTGATGTCAACAGGGAGGGCGTTCCACAGCCGGGGGGCCACCACTGAGAAGGCCCTCTCTCTCGTCCCCGCCAGACGTGCCTGTGAGGCAGGCGGGATCGAGAGAAGGGCCTCCCCAGACGATCTCAAGGCCCTCGTGGGCTCATAGGCCAAGATGCGGTCCGAAAGGTATTTTGGGCCGGAACCATTTAGGGCTTTGTAGGATAACACCAGCACCTTAAATTGGAATTTAATCACTTACTGAGAATCACTTACTGAGCACATAATCAGAATCACTTACTGAGCACATGTAAATAGTAAAGCAGAGCGCAATAGCAAAGCAATATATTGTTATATTAAATCATAATATAAAGGAAAATTTAATCCCTTTGACTACATTCTTTTCCACTGATCTATTTATATATTACATTCAAAATTTCTTGGCTATTTTATCATACAATATTTCACATGTTTGTCCTTCATCACAAATTTATTATTGTCAGACATATTTTGATGATTTATGACTTGACTGACTTGCCAACTTGCATATTGACTTTGTATATATTTTGCATAGCTTGGCACAATTTTGTACCAATTTTCTGAGACTGTTTAGCATATGAACATCACTCAAAAATGACATTTGATGAATAAGATGTCCTTTCTTTTTTAGACTAATCAGTAAAAATTGTTTGTCACTCTTGGTGGTTTAAAGCTTTATGCTTTGGAAGTACAGCTTGAATATCAGTATATTTCATTTTTTTTTCAAAGTAGATAACCCAGCCTTCCCATAGCCATGCTTTTCATCAGTTAAAGAACTGTATATGTGCATCTCTTCATAAATACCCAGTAAGTCCTTCTTCATGGTATTTGTGACTTTGATAAATGGGATTGTCTACCCCTGCAAGATCATTGCTCAGAACCTTCTAGACCTATTATGTACACATTTTGTGGTACATACGAACAGTGTCAAAGCCTTCGACAATACAGTGTCATTCCTGCTCATTCCATCATTTCCCTGGGCACTGAAGCAGCATCAGCATTGAAGAAACTATTGAGTTCATTTGGTCTGTCTTATGGTTAACAACATAATCTTATCTTGGATTTCTCTTGACTTCTCACTTATTTTGTCTTAATTTTGGGTTCTGATTTCTGCTTAACTTAATAATTTCAGTTAAGTACAGTTATCCCTCCACGTTCGTGGAATTATTTATTTGTAGATTGCTATATTTGCTGCTGCTTTCACTGCTACTCTTCATGTGACAAAAAAAAATATCTCTAGGCACTTTCAAGTCCTCCAGCATGAATCTGTGCTCAACATCTGTGGAAAGGTGACCATACAATCCCATTGACTGACCTACAAATACCTAGAGAGAATGCTTCTCTGGGCATTTGTAGGTCCTCAAGCATAACATTATGGTCAGCTTCCAGCTGAAAACTTGAACCTTGATCTTTTGGAATGTCAAGTTCTGCATATAGCCCATATAGTTTAGAAGCATCACTCTTGGATCTTATTCTCCCACTATTGCAAGAGTGGAATTGGTTTGCAGTACTGAATTTGTAGGACACGTATTATTATATCACAATCTGGCTGTTTCACAGGTGTTTCCTTTGTTTTGCTGTTGGAAGAAGGGCCCATTGTTTTTGCATTCTCCCATTCAGACTTTTCACTGCTCCTCTGGTCTTTACAAAGTGCATGCCAGTTGTGGCAGCATGACTCACACTGCAAGAGATCTTGTTACCAACTCTTGGGCTCACCTTGTCAACAACATCCATCTCATGCTTCACCTTTTGAACTAGTTGGCCCTTATTGTCAGTTTTGAGAAATCTTATCTAGAGCAATCCTAGTAGATGAAATTCACTGAAGCTCATCTGGATGCTCATATTTCTGCAGCGATTTTGCCCGATTATTATCTGAGGTGTGCACTGCCTAAACAAATAGGATGATACAAAAATCAAGTACTCATGTGAATTTCACCCTCCTTCTATGGAGGCAATTCCCATCTTTGTGATCCATCTTCCAGGAAAAGACAATGTCATAGCAGGTGCTTTCAGCAGGACAGCAGTCTATTATCATGAGTAGAAACTGTACTCAGGTACGCTCAAGAAGATTTTAAAGAAATTGGACGCTCCAGAAGTATCATCAATTTACCTTGGCCAGGAACAACCATTGCTGGGTTTTCGGCTCTAGGGCTCACTGAGAGAAGGGCTTGCACAGTGATGTTTTCCCATTTCATTGGTGAGGCCTCATTATATATGCTGGCTCTCCATTTTTCCTAATTGCTAAGGCGATAGACAAAATCTAGAAGAATAAGGAGAAGTGCATCCTGGTAACACTGGGATGGCCCAAGTCCCTACACCTCATTCAGGGCAACCATGTCAAGCTGCCATATCGTTCAGACCAGTACACAATTTACAACAGGCAAGTAAGACTCCTGGATTTGGACACTAAGGCTGACTGCCTGGAAGGCTCCTGCCTGCAGCTATTCATTGCTGCTGTGCATAGGCCTGCCACCCAGTATGAGTATAATATTCTTTTTCCCTTCTGTTGCTTCAAGGGACACATTGATCATGTGCTGGAGTTTCTCCTTTCTTTGTCAAACAGGCATCTCTCTCTATTCTATTAAATGTTACCTGGTAGCAATTTAATTTCCAGATCATTTGCAAGCTTTCATTTTTCCATAACCCTTTGGTTAAATGCTCCCAAAGAACTACAAGAACCTTCACCTTCCAGCATCAGGTCCTACACCACAATAGAGTTTGGAGTTAGTCCTTAAATTCTTTAGGAAATGCTTCAAGCCAATGGTGTCTAGTGACATCCATCTACTTATCTGGAAGACTGCCTTCTTGAAGAGCCGCAAAACTATGTGGACTTAAGGGAGATCAGCCTTTTGTGAGATTTCACAAGAACCAACATAGGTCTTAGATTAGATGTTTCCTTTCTACCAAAAGTAGTGTCAGCCTTTTGCCTGAATCAGGATATTGTCTTGCCTGCATTAGCACAGACTACTACTTTCAACCTTAAGCATTCTTTCATTACCTTGTTCTTTGTCAAATGCTAACATTTGATGTGGACAACACTGGCTTCCAGTTGTTTTCCCCCCCTCCTTCCAAGGACTTCAGCTAAATGAAAAGTGTGATTTATATTTTTAGTGATATATTTATTTATATGTAGATTATTTTTGTGTGTTTTAAAATTATGTTATAATTTTATACATTCCTCAATTGATACTGATTTCATATTCTAACGTTCAACTACAATAGATCTACCAAATCTATAGAATTTACATAAGTGTTAACTTACCAAATTCCTATTGATTCAATAGTTGGAATGAATAACTTCCTTTAGGTTTACATTTAGGGTCATTTAGGCTCTCAGATTCTTGGGTGCCCATTGTATTACCTTTCCTTTCTTAAATTAAAACAAGCTTCAGTTGGAGAGAGGGATTGAAGCAGAATTATGATCTCATATTGTAGGAAATTGATGTGATATGAAACGGCAGAGTAAGACAATAAAGTTCTATGTCATTTTGCTGCTCTTTTAGAGGGTTAGCTTGAATCCACAGGTCAGAAAGATTTTTTAAAAGAGTACAGATCCTGAAATCATTTTAAAAAAACGTTTTTGGGTTTGCAGGCAACAAGAGTGGGTGAATCAACAAAGAGAAGATATTGAGAGGCAAAGGAAACTTCTTGCGAAGCGAAAACCTCCATCTACAAATAATTCTCAGGCACCCTCTGCCAATTCAGAACCTAAACAGAGGAAAAACAAAGCTGTCAACGGAGCAGAAAATGACCCATTTGTTAGACCCAATTTACCACAGTTGTAAGTTCAGAAATATTTGTTTGCTTTTTGTGTATAAAAGGCAAGATAAAAAGTACCTGTCATGACAGGGAACCACCGTCATCCATGAGTAGCATTTCATTCATATGACCAATAAAATGAAATGAAAGGAGGGTGGAAATGAAACAGCCTTCCCAGCTTGTAAGTGACCTTGTCATTCTCTGCAAAGTGTACTTGTCTTGCCACTTCAAATAGACATATTCATTTCAGCTTTTCTTGGCCTACTCCATAGTTTTCTGTGGAACCAATGAAAGTTTTCAACCGTGATCTTTTGACCTTTCTCAGTTATGACAAAGAGATAAACCTGAGAACTAATAATTTTATGATTATTTTTTTGGTCACAGAGATTTTGTAAATGTAGGTTGTGGTCTTCTTGGTTTGTAGGCTTCACTCATACAGGTTCTAAACCTGTGCAGCTCAATCAGAATGTTAAAGAACTCAAAGGCCTATGATGGTAACTCCACGTTGGTGTCCCTGTGTCTGGTTGTTCCTGGTGCCTTCCTTATCATTTCAGCTACCTTCAGCCTGTACAATGACACCTCTGTGAAGAGTGTCCTGTTGCTTCTTCATTGCATAGATAAGCCGACTACGGCTGTTTGTCCTCTAATTCACCCCCACGTTTCCTTATATATATATATATTTAGAAATCATATCCCCTTAACTCCAAGAAAATTCTTGAATACGGGTACGCCAACTAGGTGAAATTAAAGCACCTGGTTTCATTGCTACTTGCTGAGGATAAAAAAGGTGGAAGAAACCAAGGAAATCAACTGTGGGCCAAGGTTCATCTGCACTAATTGCATTTTTCTTCATTATCTCATCTGACATTGCAGAACCAAATGCCAATTTTAAACTGGCTGCATCTGTGATGCTCAGCCAGGGAACGCTATATCATTGTTGTCTCTTTATCATCCATTTTATTGCTGGAGAAGGTGCAAGGGCTCACTTGATTAGTATTTTGCTGTAATAGAACAGGCATATTAAATGGGTAACAGTATTAATATTAGCTAGTTAATTAATTAATACTAAAGCCAATATTAAACATTAGTATCACATTATGTAATGCTGTCACAGTATAGTAGGCTCTTCGTATCTAAAGATTCTGTATCCATTGATTCATCCTACCACTGCTTGAATATTTTTAAAGAATTGAAAAAACAAACATTGGATTTTACTGTTTTTGGGAGCCCAATTTGCTGCACCTCTGTATATAATGTGATTGTACTGTACATACTTTTACACTCCACTTTCAAAAAGGAATTCCTCCTGAATGCATTTTGTTTCCTAGCTTAAGAAGTCTTGTTGACCAGTGCATTGTCTAGATTTGATTCAGACATTTGATTGGATAATCCACAATATAGACACATTCTACATATTAGATTAAAATAAAAAACACAACTATTTTTATTTAGTTTAAAATAGTTAATTATCAGTTGTAACTCTTGCAGGCTAACACTGGCAGAATACCATGAACAAGAAGAAATTTTCAAGCTAAGATTAGGACATCTCAAAAAGGTATGTTTAAATTCTGCTGCTTTAGTCAAACAAATTAATTGAAATTAAAAACTGAATCTACTCTACAGTAATGTCTGTTTTTCTTGACCATCAACATAGGTATATCTACCAAAAACCATTTGTTTACTTTTTACAAAAAATAAATTTGTTTCTTTTTTATCATTACTGATGTTTTAAAAATAATTTTGACAAAATACCATGCAAATTGGGTTTTATAGGTTCACAGAACATTGATTTATCATTATTGGGTCATAAATACATTATTTTGCCATATCGGTTGATTTCCAAAGTTACACATCTACTTTGTCCATTTTCAAGAATGGGTTGTAATGTTTGATTTCTGTTAAAAGATTTCTGTATGTCTACATACCCGGAAAGGCTCCTTAACTGTGGGGTGCAAAATTGCTGCTCTAGCCCTTTTGGTTGTCTTTGCTTCCCAAACCCTTGTGTGTAACTTATATAATTGCTTTGAGTTGGGATCCACCAAAAACTGATGTTTCAGCTTTCATAAGACAAAGCCACTGCTGGAGGCAACTTTTTGCAGATTGGTCTTTCATAGTTACCTTTCACCAGCTGTATCTGCATAAAACATCCTCCTTTCTAAATATAAGTTCATTCTTTTTTTATTTGCAGGAAGAAGCTGAAATACAAGCTGAACTTGAACGTCTGGAAAGAGTTAGAAATCTCCACATACGAGAGCTAAAAAGAATAAACAATGAAGATAATTCACAGTAAGGAAGTAGATTTTAATCTTGCACATTACTTTTGGTAAATTCTACTTTTGGAGAAAGATGGCACAAGGATACGCACAGTACATTCTTAACTGGATTTTATTTTATTAAGATTGTGTAAAAGTACTTTTGGGATTCAGAATTACTGAAGCTAAACAATTGACAGGCTTTTTAAAAAATGTTGCAGGGATTGCTATTTAAAACAAAGATGTTTCAGCATTGAGATGTTATAAGTAAGCCTCCATTCAAATGTTGCAGTCACTTACTAAGAAAAATGTTAATATTGGCCCTGAACTCCTGCCAAGTTGTACAGGCCTGATTTATATTGTTAAATTGGTGTCCGTGTTTTACAAAGTAAATTAGAATGTGCTAAGTTTTCTTTTGTGTCAAAGATTTGAAGCCACCTTTTTTCATTGTAAAAAGTATTAAATATTGCATTTGATTTTTAGTGAACAGTGTTTATGCTTTAATATTTTAAGGTTCAAAGATCACCCTACGTTAAATGAACGGTACTTGTTGCTTCATTTACTTGGTCGAGGTGGCTTTAGTGAAGTATATAAGGTAATGTCCCCTTTTTAATATATATAGATAATTTTCTTAAATTCTGTACTCACTAAAATGCTGTTAATCCAAATAGGAATGAAAGCTTCCAAATTTGCCAGTATGTCAGAAGAGAAATGTGTATCTTTTCCTCTAAAACATTATTATACACAATGTGTTCAGCCTCAGTTATATCCCACAACCTGTATCACAGGATCTCAAGGTGGCATAAAAATAAATCAATATTAAAAACATAGAACAATTTAAAATTTGAATTGTAATTTCAAATAGATAAAATTGCATATTAAATTATTACACCTAGCATTATATCTGAATAAAACTGGTGGATTTGTTTTATTGATTAATATGCACACGATGAACAAAATAGTTTTATAATAGCCTAGCCAGTAAAATTAATTTATCCACCATAAATACAAAAGGCAGTTATATATCTCCGTTCATTCACAAAGACTGAAAGCTATACTTGAGGTGATACTTCACTGATACCTAAAATATTGTAAGAAAGACACCAGCTGGTAGTATCTGAAAGAAAGCTATGCAGTTTGGATGCCACTATCAAAAAGAGCCTTCTTCTGATAGCCTCTTGCTTAATTTCAGGAGAGGGCAACAGCTAGATTTTGGCTTCCAAAATAGTTTTTGGGTCGCTTACTGAGAAAATAGATAATTGTGGTTGTTTTCTTATCCATGCAGAATATGCACTTGTGTTCATGTTTCAGGTTTGGTTGTACATCTCCCTTAGCTTATTTATTTATTTATTATTGGTATACCGCCTGCGAAGCCGTGACTCCCACCGCTTGTTACTAAAAATTTAAAACCGTTCACTTGCTGCCACCAAAATATGTGAGGAAGTCTCCAAAATGAAATAATGGTGTAAAATCCCAAATAAATAGGATCACCACACAGATGTAATAAAGATTTGAGACTTCTAGCTTAAATTGCCACCATAATATAAGTGATATTGGTAAAAATGATCTCTGGTTATCCTTATCTGTGTTGTGAGGCACCTTGGGTAGTGTGGAATGCTTCAAACGTGGAAATCAGTGAAGGAGGCAAGTTTAAAACACAAAAAGAACAGGTTTATTGTTATCAGAGCGTAAATTGTTGCAAAATTAAACTGTTGAACTTGGCACAAGCTTGATGGATACAAAATGGCTTGGTTGAGTTACATTAAGTCTTCCGATGTTACAATCCTTTAACTCTTTCTACAGTGAGGTACTTTATTATTTCAGTGTTCCCTATTGTGAATATTTACAACTGTTTGTCCTTCACCGGATCAAACCAACGATCTCCAGATTTTCACCACTGGGATCCCTGAAACCCTTTCTTGTTAGATTCTTTTCTACTCAAGCAATCTAACGAGTTTCCACCTTCAGCTTCCTAGCTGGAATAATATTCACAAAACCTAAGAACTAACTGAATTTACACTACTCCACAGAGCCTCCTTGACTCTGCTACTCTCCTCAGGGTCTCATCCGCCTGACTGAAAATAAACTGTCGCTTTCAAACCTTTTTTACCTAAGCTCCGCCCACCTCCTCTGGCTTGTCACCATGGCAACCTATCTCTCTCTCAGCTAGGCCCTGGCCACAATGTAAAGCCTAAACACAGTTTGAAACACAGTATAATGAACACTTCTCTACACCTTCCCCCCCAGAAAAAGTATTTTTGCACCATTTCTTAGTCCTAGAAGGGCAAAAATAACTTCATACATTACTCAACAATAAATACATATACATAACATTCCTGAAAGGGAAACACATTATGGTTAAACACATTTATATTGCACATTTATACAAACCTCCAAACTATGGAATCCTAGATAAAGCGTCCGCAACTACATTTCGTTTACCTGAAACATGTTTCATTTCAAACACAAAATCCTGCAAACACAAACTCCATCTCAACAACTTATTATTCGTACCTTTTACATTATCCAACCATCGTAATGGAGCGTGGTCTGTTTGTAAGATAAACTTCCTACCCCATAAGTATGGTTTAAGTTTCTTAACTGACCAGATAATGGCATAGCATTCCTTTTCAATAGTTGACATACTATACTCGTTAGAATGCCATTTTTTACTTAAAAACAATATGGGTCTGTCTTCTCCTTCTATATCGAGTTGGCTTAGGACAGCTCCTAGCCCAGTATCTGAGGCATCACACGTTAACATGAAAGGCTTGTCAAAATCTGGTGCCATTAGGACGGAATCTGAAGTAATGGATTCCTTCAATTTATCCATGGCAGTTTGACAATTTGGAGTCCAAATTACCTGGTTCGGGTTCTTCTTTTTTGTAAGGTCCGAAAGAGGGGCTGCCAGATTACTAAAGGATGGGATAAACTTTCGATAGTATCCAGCCAATCCAAGGAATGCCCTAACCTGTTTTTTCGTTTTGGGCACTGGCCACTGGTGAATAACTGCCACTTTAGTAGGATCAGGTCGAATATGACCTCCTCCCACTAAC